GGGGGGGGGGGGGGGGGGGGGGGGGGGGGGGGGGGGGGGGGGCGGGGGGGGGGGTGTGAAACGTTGCGGGACAAAGGGAGTCCCACACCCACACCCACATCCACACTCATCCACACCCACATCCACACCCATCCACACCCACAACTACACCCCACCCACACGCACACCCACACCCCATCACTATCATCATCAACAGTATCAACATCATCCTCATCAACATCCTCATCAAAAGTGAATAAACGATATTCGTCAAAGTTTAAAAAAGAATGGTTATCAGATCCTAAGTTTTCTATCTTTTTACGCGAATGTAAAAATGATCCATCTAAAGGTTTATGCATCGTTTGTAATATTCAATTCTCCATCCGAAATAGTGGAATTGGTGATATTAATCACCATATTCAAACAAGAAAACACCGAGAATGTATACAATCAGCTGAAGCTAATTGATGTAAGATTTATCAGTAATGGTCTACTAATAAAACCACTTTTTTAATAATTTCTTTAGCAAAAACTGTTGATGTACTATTTCATATCCCAACATCTGAGCTTAATAAATTATGTGCTGCAGAAGGTACTATGGTTTTCCATGCTGTTAAACACTCCCACAGCTACGTTTCGCAAGCTTGTACAATTAATTTAACTAAAAAATGTTTTCCTGATTCTTCTATAGCAAAACATATTACTTGTGGTCCTACTAAAGTAAAGATAATATTATTCATGTTAGATTGTCAATTCAATGTTATATATTTATTCTCTAGGCTCGTGAAATATCATGCAATGTACTTGCATGCTCACTTACACATTCTATTGTACTTGAATTACGTGATGTAGCATTTTTTTCAATTTGTTATGATGCTTTCAACAAAGGAAATGCTAAGATGCTTCCAATTGTAGCTCAATTTTTCTCGAAATTTGGCGTTAAACATGGAATTATTGAATTTATTGAACAACAAGATGAATTAGCTGATGCATTATTTGCTAACATTAAGTACGTCATAGAAGCAAATGAACTAAAATTAAATCAAATTGCTTCACTTGGATCGGACAGCACCAACGTGAATGTTGGTAATAATCATAGTGTATTTTCTTTGTTCTCTCACAGTTGACTGGAGAATTCAGTTGTCTTCGGAATCAATAAACAAGCTAACATTATAGCATGAGTCATAAAATAATTAATGGTGACTTTTTTTATTTGATGACTCAGCAATTCTAAAATTCGTTTCAACCAATCACTCTATGTCCCGACGACCCGAGCATTTCAAAAAATTCATAGTATAATAAAATAGTGACTCAGTAATTCTAAAATTCGTTTCAACCAATCGCTCTATGTCCCGACGTCCCGAGCGTTTCAAAAAATTGATAGTATAATCAAATAATGACTCAGCAGTTCTAAAATTCGTTTCATCCAATCACTCTATGTCCCGAAGTCCCGAGCGTTTCAAAAAATTGATAGTATAATCAAATAATGACTCAGCAATTCTAAAATTCGTTTCATTCAATCCCTCTGTGTCCCGACGTCCCGAGCGTTTCAGAAAATTCATAGTATAATAAAATAATCACTCAGCAGTTCTAAAATTCGTTTCAACCAATCGCTCTATGTCCCGACGTTCCGAGCATTTCAAAAAATTGATAGTATAATAAAATAATCACTCAGCTATTCTAAATTTCGTTTCAACCAATTGCTCTATGTCCCCATGTCTCGTTGCTCGAAAAAATTTCAAATATAGAATAATACAGCTGACTAATTTGCTCTAGATTTCGTTTCAACCAATCATTCAATGTCTCTATGTCCCCAGCATCAGAAAAAACATTCAACTATATTTCATACGAATTCAGAGAGAAATGGTGTTATAGCAAATCATCTTCCAGCATTATTACGTTTCAAAACTTCGCTGAAATCAATACCATGACTAATCTATACAGTCAGACAAGAAAACAATAAATAAAAGCTGAGATAACTGTTTATTTTATCTGTTTATTGATTTCGATAGCACACACACAAGAGAATTTGCTTGTTTCTCATACGGATTCTGTTGATTTTTCTGTCTTTA